TTTTTTTCCTTCCTCCTCCTGTGTGTGTGTGGTGGTTTTGTTGGTTTTTTTTTCCTGGTGTTTTTTTTTTTCTCCTCCTCCTCCTCTCGGTGTGGACACCTTAAAAATACATATATATATGTGTGTGTGTATATATAAATATAATCGATAACTATACGCGTGTACACACACACACGCTCACACTGGCAGGGATGTGCGCGTATATACACGCGGCGGTATAAAACACACGGGAGGAGGAGAGACAAGCCAGGGTGAATTCCTCGTGCCTCCGTTCCCTGGGAAAGGGGGAGCAGCCGCTCGCAAGGTAAGAACCGGGGGGCTCCGAGCCCCGGGGGCGGGCAGGGGCCGGGGATGGGGTGGGGGCGGCCGCCCTGTTTGTGTCCGTGCGGGCGGGAGGGGGACGGGGCTCCTCTGGACCCCCCGTTGTTATTAGTATGTGTATATATACATGCATAGATAGATATGCAGACACATTTATGTATATATACACATATTCACCCCTCCCCCACCCCGCGCCGCTGGCTTCCCCTCCCCCACCCGCCTTCATTTTTTTTAAAAAAAAAAAAGAAGAAAAGGTTTAATGGAGCGGGGGATGGGGGGGACACCGGCCTCGGCAGCGAATGGCACACGGGAGCCATGGCGAGAGGCCTATTTTTAGCCCGATTTGTGGGGAAGAGCGGCTTCCCCTCCCCCCCTTCCCGCATATTTACTTGGGGGGGAGGGGAAGGGGGGAGGGCCCGGTCGGGATGGGGGAGGGGAGGCCCTTCCCCTCCCCCGCTCCCCGGAGTTCTCCCCCATCCCGACTCCCCGTTGCTGGGGAGGGGATACACCCCCACCCCCGGGCCATTCCCGATGTTCACCCCCCCAGAGCCAAGTTATTGATCAGTTTTCCGGCGGAATTCGGGCTGGAACATGCGGTGCCCCGCGGTGGCAGGGAGCGGGCCCGCTTCGGGGCATAAAATAAGCTTTTATTCTCCCATTTCACAGCGTCTCTCCTTGCCAGGGCTTATCCCCGTCCGAAACCCTGGTGTAAATTGTGTCTTGCATCAATTAGAGGGGCTCGCACGGTTGATGCAGTGTGTACTGTTTTATTGGTGGAGGATTTAAGTCCTGAAATATGTGGCTTGTTATTGTTGTACCCTCGAAAGGGTTAAAATTTATCGTGTTGTTCCAGGTGAATTTAATCTTTCATCACCGAATTTCCTTTTAAGGCAGCTTGACAGAATAAAAGTCTCTCCCTCGCTTGTCTTTATCCCCAGAACAGCAAAACTTTGTCTGTGCTTTATGGCAGGGGCTGGTTGCTGCAGATGACACGTGAGTCTGGAGGAAAGTTTGGTTTGTAGGTCGCTGTGTAGGAAAGTGAAGTTTGCTGGTGAAGTTTTTACTACTCTCCAGTGTGCTCGACTTCCTCGTTTTCCTGTCTGTGTAAATCAAATTCCTAACTGATTTATGGGGGAGGGGATCACAAAACATATTCCTTCCTTATTGTTAAGGCATGGGAGGCATGATCAGGAGAAACAGGTCTTTGTTGCATAAAAAAAAGAGTTTTGTAGGCTTGTCTGACTTGCTTTGCTCTCCTTCTGTGCTAAAATAAATGTCTGAGCACGTTGTGTGCTTTAAAAAGGTTCTTTACTGTTGATGGTCTCTGCCCTTTGGGTGTTGTGCGTTGTGCTCCTTTAGCATCAAGGGCACCATATGCAAAGTTGGTATTTGGGGTTTGGTTGTACCTGGGCTTTGGGGCAGTTTCCAGCCTTCTTCCTGCTCTGAGTAACCTGAAGGCTTGTCCACGTGAGGCTCACATTGTATTTGGGGCCTTCCTTTGGACATGTGTGTTAAAGGGCTTTTTGGAATATGTTCCAAATGAGGACTGGACTGCAAGCTCCCGTGTGTGTCCTTAAATTTAAGTGAGTGGGTATGTGCTTGTGGATGAGCTCTGAAGGGGTTTTTGTCCTTATCCATTGGAAAAAGGGGCTGGGATGGTGCTTAGGGCACAGGTGGTGCCCTGTAATTGATTGAAACAAACTTTCTGTGGTTTTCTCTAGTGTTTTTTCCCCCTTTGGTTTTGTTTAAGGTTTAATGGAATGATAACATTTTGTATTATTTACCTAAGGTCACCTGAGCCACTGCACTGTTGCTATCTTAAGGCTTCTTGGGGGAAGTTGGATTTTTCTCCATGAGAACTGTGTTTTCTGGTACTCTATCTTGGGAGCTTGGTGGCCTGCCTCCCAAACTGTTATTGGGAACACCTGGAGAGCACTTAGCTCTCATTCCTTGAGGAAAAGAGAAGGAAATGTAATTTAAATGTATGAGAAGGGTTGGGGTTTGGCTTTTGGGCTTTATAATTTATTTTTAAGACTTTGCAAGAGTGTATAGTTTTTGTTTGTTCGAACATGCACAGCCAGAATGTGTGTTTGTAGCATAAAGAACACAATAATTACAGAAGATTCTGTTGCTTAAGCTTTTTTTCCTCTTTCAAACAGGTAGTTAAAACTTTTTTTCTTGTGAGTTTCTTTTTAAATATGAATACTTCTTTCAGTTTTACTCTATATATGGTAATTATTGATGTTTGTGTAATGCTTTGAAGTTGTAAGGCAGGGTATAAGCGCTAAGTACCCAACAGCAATACTTCATAGTCATTTTCCCATCATGAAAGAGTTTGATCCTTAAAAGTGCTAGAGCCCTAGGCATAAAGAGGCTCTGGACGGATTAGGGGAAATGGCCAAAATTGCTGATAATGTTGTTTTAAGTTAGGAAGAACAGATCTGAATAACGTAAAGCAAACTGAGTTATTTTACCTAACTTCATTTTGGTCTGGAATTTAATAGAACGTGGACTTCACATTTGAGTCAGAATGTGTTTGCTGTTATAAGTTTTGTAGTGGCAGTAAAGACCCACATCCTACAAGGATGTAATCGTGCAGAAGTCAGGAAGTCTTGTAAAACACACAGCTTTGTGAACATCAGTGGTCTCGTTCAGCTGAATGAGCTCTGCAGCTCTCTGTGAAGTTGCTCCCAGGAGTTGGGTGTGTTTTGTGTTAGTGGTGGGCAGTAAGATGTGAATCTTTCATTACACCGATGCTATTTTGACAGAACAGCACTGTCAAGTGTTTTGGGAAGGCTGAGGCAGGGGCAGATGTGGCGCCTTTTCATCACTAATTCCTCTGCTGGTTGGGAGCCCCGGGTGACAGTCACCCCTCCAGCTTTTGCTTGCTTTGCCTGTCTCTTCTGTCCCCTGGTCCCACAGCTGCTGAAGATGGTGGTGCCTGTGTGAATTCTGACACCTTGCTGGCGAGGACACTGCTGGCAGGCGGAGGAGAGGCAGACACAAGTCTCCCGCCAGCTCTTCCCCTTCCCAGCTGGGACAGGGTGGTGGTGAAGTGGTCTGGTCTGTGCTTTGGAGAGGAGGCAAGGACAGGGTGTGCTGCAGGTCGGTGTTGTGTCAGTACTGCAATATTGTGATACTGAGATGTATCGTACCCAAGTGTGACTCATTCATAATCTAATTCACGTTGTTTGTATTGAGTGGTGTGATTTTGGTCGGTGTGCTGACCATCCTCGCTGGGTGTGTGTTTGCACATGCCTGCACGCAGAGTTCAGAGTGTAATGATGACTGTATTTAGTGCCCTAAACATCAGCTCATACAAGTAGCTGCAGGTTGGGGGGAGAAGTGAAAGTGTGTGTGTGCACACTCTGTAATTAGGCATGTTTGGCTCCTGCAAAAAGTAGCTGCTCTGAGAATATACTCATTGCATGCTCATTTTTAAATACTAATTTAAGTGTTTGTGTTAGGTGAAGAAGTGTCAGGAGCTTCCCATTAGGAACTATGATTGACAGCTCTTCTCTCTTTTTGAGTTGCATTGCTGCATTAATGTAGTAGTTTCAAATTAACAGGTGATGAAAAACCATTTCTATGTTTCTGCTATTGATTTAGCTACCCCTGTCCCAAATGTGCTCAGTTTTTTAAGTGCTGAAGTATGAAGTTAGATGGTCTTAATTTCTGTAAAGTCACATAATGACGACTGACTTTACTAGAAAAAGGTTCAAGTGATCCCGAGCAGAGTAGATGGAGACTGCTTTATTCATTTCATAATTGGTTTCTTCCGAGATAAAGTGTGACAGTGAAATGAGGAATAAGGAATATCTTTTGATATGAAATTGTAGGGGAATATATTGGCTTTCCTCTAATTTTGCAAAATTGAATTAGCTAACTGGAGGTAAGAAGCAGTGAAAATGAGGCAGCGTAGCTTTCACTTTTGGAGAGCTGATAGCTTGAGTGAAAAGGTTTGGAAGTCTGGTCTGGAATTTGCCAATTTGTATGAAAACTGGCACACTTCTTAGGGTTCCGTCTTGTGGTATCTAATTCAAGATGAGAAGGCCCTTTGGCTCCTTCTCATAATGAAAACAAGGTTGCACTTGTTTATACAAAATGCCCTAGAGTGTTAGTGGCCTTGTTTGAGCTCAGGTTAAGTGTTTATTTGGTTCAGGAGGATCTACAGAACCATAAGTCACCTTACACTCTGAAACATTTGTCTTTAATACCTTACCACTTACCTTTCTGTGGCATCCTTTAGACTTAACTTTTTATATTGATAAGGAGCCTTAAAAATAATTCTGCCTTGATAAGAAGTAAGTGGTCATTCCAACCTGGAGGTTGTGTAATTGTAGGGGAAAATGTACGCACTGGTTGGGTGTGTAGGATTTGCTGGCTTGGCTAACCAAGGAGTGAAATTGCTGGTGTTGCAGCTCACACCTGCTCGCTTGCTTCTTGGATGGGCTGATTGCAGGGAAGACTTCTGAGTGTATTTCCTTACCTGTAGAAATAGTAATCACAAAGTCTGGTGAATTGGCACAGCTTTCTGAAGAACTCATTTAAAGAAGCTCCCAAGTGATGAGGGGGAGTGTTATGGAATTGTCTTGGCCAATATATGCAACATCTTTCAGAGAGTCTCAGTTTACTTTGGATATAATTGTGCATGGCCGAACTCAGTGCTAAGTGGAGATGCTGAGGTCCTTTGGAATATGCTAGCTAGGATGTCAGAAGCAGCATCCCTAGGTATGCTCTCGGCCTAATATACCATTTTTTGAGGATGAATAATGCAGGCAGATTGGGTGTCAGCCTGGCTGTGTGGTTCAGTGCCTGCCCATGGCCCTTCCTGGTGTCCTCTGCATCCTGCTTGCCTCAGGAGCTGGAGGTATGGTGGCAGTGGGGATCTGGTCCCTGAATAAGTGCTGTAGTTGTGCTTGGTGCAAGCATGACTCCTCTTAAGAAGAGTATAAGCTGGCATCTGCATCTCTAAAGTAAGAT